TTGCCCTCCCGGGGGGGGGGGGGGGTTGGAGTCGTCTATTCTATTCTTTCCTTATCTTATAATTTAATTTGGAGACGACTCCTTGGTCCGAAATGGTTTATCGCGCCGGATGATGTAGCTTTGGTTGTTGATTCTTACTAATGTATTTGTGTCGTTGAGGGGATTCGAAATTGGCCAATGTGGCTTATATTAATGTATATATGTACATAAAAAATAAAATTATTTGTTTATTTTTAAAGTGTATTTATTGCATATATTCCTGTTCTTATAGGGAGGTATATATATTATATTTGTTATGTACCTCGGGTCTCTGACTGCCGGTTGTGCCCGACAGTAGAGAAACGTCTCTGCTTCCGTTAGGTACAGTACTTTGTTTCCTTGTCAGGCTTGGCCGGAGTTTGAGATTATCCGAGGGGCCCTATGATGTATGTGGATTTTTACCATTAGTTCTTTGGTGTATGTCTATTTAAAAAAGAGAGAGAACAAAAAATAAAAAATAAAAAGAATTAATTGTTAGTAGCTGATCATATGGGGTTCTATAAGTTGTTGGGCTTATAATATACATGTATGTGTCTTATTGTAATTTTTATTATATAGGGATGGGGAGTTCACCGATCTTATCCTATCATGGCGTTGGCGTACCGTATCCAGGCTGTCCTTTACTTATATCCTACTCTATTTTGTGTTTTGTTTTGTTCCTATATTTTGGAAGCCCTTCGAATCGTTGAAATGAATGTAATCTAATCTATCCTCTGTGTCGGCATTAACGCGCCTACTCTTTCGACACTACACAGAGGGATTTTTTACGTGCAGGTTGGACCCTCCTACACGGGACACCGTTTATAGTCCCCTCCGCCGGACTGTGTGTTGTTGGTGAGTGGTTAGTATCATGCAGGTGCTAGTTAATCTTTTTTTGGCGTCCATTCTTGTAACCGTTTCCAGTCTTTGCACTTTGTGGAAAACTTTTCTTCAGTACCAGTGTTCTCTTTCATATAAAACTTTCCTTTAACTTTCGTCTGTAACTGTTCGCTGTTCTGACTTTTATAATTAGTTTGTGAGTATTAGTATAAGATAGTTGTTGGAGATGGGAAGGGAAAGGTAGGTGCGACGAATTGTGCTTTGGTGAGAGTTATCAGTAGGTAGAGGAGAGTTGGGTAGATGCAGGTATGGTGAAGTGTGTGTGTGTGTGGGGGGGGGGGGGGGGGGGGGTTGTCGGGTTTGTGCATTGGTTTTTATATAGAGTTATATTAGTGCATGTATAGTTAGGAGATCAGGAGTTGATGAGGGGATGTGGATACTGAGCCTGATTGATTTGAGGTTGGTGATAATTATTAGTATATAAAGGAGGTTTGGATAAAAGCGGGGGGGGGTATTAGGGATGGTCCATATGTTTTCTTTGTAAATAGATTCTTACAGTCTTTATAATTTCATAAAAGTGTTTTTAATTAGATGTATTGTGTGGCTCAATGGTCGAGAGTAGGGGTTGTTTTGAGGTTTTTCAGGTTCTAATGGGTATTGTATTGAAATTTAGGTTATTGATAAAGTCGGGGGGGTTTTCAGAGAGCTATAAGCTAAGTTGACGCGGGTATGAGGAGAAGGCCAGCTGTGCTTTTGGACTTATAAACTGTTAGGTAAGGATTTTTTGGAATAATTAAATCTGAGTTGATACAACAAGATTTAATTATTTTTCAACAAACATGGGGTTGTTACAATATTTGAACCAAAATTATCAATAACATTAAAAAACAAAATAAATAAATTTCAAAATGAAACTGAGACTATAATACAACTATATCTATAGAGTTCTAATCTTTGGATAGACAGAAGATGGCTGTAACGTCTTTGTTCCGACCTCAGGCGGGGAGTTCCGATCAATAGATCTGTTCGCTTACCCAGCAGCGATCCCAAGTCTTTTCTAAAGATAAACGAATTTTCCCTTTTTCTAGTCCTCAAGTATAACTCTGCTTCCATGAACTGTTTAAAGATTCATGCATTTAAGTCCTCTTGTCCCATCGGGGTGACTTAAGCTAAGTTGACGCGGGTATGAGGAGAAGGCCAGCTGTGCTTTTGGACTTATAAACTGTTAGGTAAGGATTTTTTGGAATAATTAAATCTGAGTTGATACAACGAGATTTAATTATTTATCAACAAAACATGGGGTAGTTACAATATTTGAAATAAAATTATCAATAACATTAAAAGAACGAAATAAAACTGAGACTATAATACAACTATATTTATAGAGTTCTAATCTTTGGATAGACAGAAGATGGCTGTAACGTCTTTGTTCCGACCTCAAGCTGGGAGTTCCGATCAATAGATCTGTTCGCCTACCCAGCAGCGATCCCAAGTCTTTTCTAAAGATAAACGAATTCTCCCTTTTTCTTGTCCTCAAGTATAACTCTGCTTCCATGAACTGTTTAAAGATTCATGCATTTAAGTCCTCTTGTCCCATCGGCGTGACTTAAACTAAGTTGACGCGGGTATGAGGAGAAGGCCAGCTGTGCTTCTGTACTTATAAAACGTTAGGTAGGGAATTTTAGGAATAATTAAATCTGAGTTGATACAACGAGATTTAATTATTTCTCAACAAACATGGGGTAGTTACAATATTTGAGTTGAAATACGATCATACAGTGCCTTATATATAGGCTTATTTTATGTTTACCACAGTGCATTTCAAACTATACTGATTTTGATATAGAGGAAGTCATGCACTAAATAACCACGGACTTAGAATCTAATTCCGTGAAATAACACAGCTGCTGCAAAATTATTCGGACAAGGGCATCTTACTTGTTTACACATGTGTACGCTACGCTCGGAATGTTTTTGTCATATACTTTAATTATCATTTTTAACTGAATATTTCAGAATTATTTATTAAGACAAACTATTCAAAAATAGCAAAAAAAGAAGTTTAGATATGTCAAGGTAAATAGCTCAGTAAAAGAACTAAAATTCTTTTCACGGGCCTGTGTGTTTTTGATGTGGTATCGATCCTTAGAAATTGTCCAGGTCTAACCAAATTACTGGTAGATTCCGTCGGATATACTGACTTTACAGATGTCCTGGTTAAATGACACTGGTACAATATGTAATTCATCCCAGTAATTCTATAACCCCTTTCTGGATACAAGATAAGAAGATGCATACCATAAAACATTAGCACTGTAGTGCTATTCTTACGACAAACATAATGTATAATTTAGCACTGATCTAATTTCTTTCACTACTATATACCTGTCGTCCACCCAGAAGTTCACAACGGAAGAAAAATGGTCAATCATAAAAACTAAACTAAATAGTATTATCCAATTACATGTTCCAACAAAAATGACCAAATCAAAGGATAACCTGCCCTGGATAAATAAAAATATAAAAAGATTTATCAGAAAACGTGACAAACTTTATAAGAAAATTAAGAGCACTTCCTTGGCACACCAATCAAAACTACATCAGAAAATGAAACTTATTAAAACAGAAATTCAAAGAAAAATACGGCAAAGTTATTGGGCTTATGTGGAATCGATTGTTATCGATGACTCTGAAAATATCGACAAGGCCAAACCAAGTAAACAACTCTGGTCCTTTGTTAAAAAAACAAAAATTTGAAAATTTTGGGGTATCACCACTCAAGGTCGATGGCATAACATACTCTGACCCTAAATCCCAAGCAGAAACACTAAACAGACCACTCCACTCTGTCTTTACCAACCCAGTCCCACTCAACCTATCTCATCTCTGTGAACTTGACCTCTATTCCTCACAAAAGCCTGCAAACTACATGTCAGACATCAATATCACAATTCCAGGTGTTTCTAAACTTCTCAAAAACCGGGACCCCAAGAAACCCACAGGACCTGATAAAATTTCTCCAAATTTCCTTAAACATGTCTATGTTGAAATAGATCTCTGTAACTGTTCCCTCTCAAGCGGTGTAGCTCCCTCAGACTGGAAAACTGCCATTGTAGCCCCTGTATTTAAAAAGGGACCAAAAAACCAACCGCAAAATTACCGTCTTATCTCGCTAACCTGCATCCTCAGTAAATTGATGGAATGTCCTTACCAGAAGCATCATGACTCACGCCGACAACTATACTCTTCTCAGCCCTCTTCAGCATGGTTTTCGCTCCAAACGTAACTGCGAAACACAACTTCTTGCTTTTACCTCAGACATCTATAATAATCTAGCACTAGGTCATCAAACAGATGTAGCAGTTATAAAGGCTCAGTGTGCGCCACCTAGTGGACGAAACGATACACCAAGCGAATCACACGGCAGTGTAACGGTAACATTAAATGGTTTTGAAGTCAGATGTCGCTCCTCTATAATCTTCATAGAAATAATGTATTAGCCTAGCGATTGGTCAATTATTTTACCAGTATAATAACATTGAACTTGTTCAAAAATAGGAAAAGTGTGAAATCTAAATTTTAATTACTACAACAAATCTTCATCTCTGATAAAATACAATTTGATTTCTACCATGTATTCATGGTTTAAGCCAACCGTGACGACCAGGATAAATTATATGTGATGTATAAACTGACAGAAACCGAAAATTATTTTCTGGTATGAAACGTTTTACACCATAGCTTCTTAAATAGCCCGTATTGTTGAAAAGTATAAAAGTAGGATGCAATTGATCTAGCGTGTATTGTATCAATTAGTTATTGTCCATTGCTGAAGGAAAGACGTAAAAAATATGTAGATATAAATTGCTATCGGTGTTTCTCGTCTTAACATAGTGTTGAAACACGATTGTGATATGTGTACAATGTCGTCAGTAATGACGGATGTGACCAAAATCAATCCGATCTAGAGATACCCTGTATTGTTATGCGCTCGTCATACGGTTGGGGACAGCTGTTACCCAGCAAGATAAGATGGTACAAACTTCTAATAAGATGCACATGTGGCAGTAGATTTATTGACAGGACCAGCCACGCGTCATACATTTTATTACTTGTCTAAATCAATCACTGTATGGAATCTACTTGAAAATAAATGAACTTACAGTATATGATAATACGTAGCTGAGGAAAAAACTAAGATTAAGGAGGATTTATCAGACAAGTCCTCGTTATGTAAGTATAACGCTAATTGACGTTAAAATCTAAAGAAATTATGTCTTCAGATGTGTATTGCTGGTAAAACTACAATGTACTTTAAAAAATGCGTTTATTTATATCAGTATAAAGATCGACCGAGACAACACATGTATTGGACACATGACACTAAGGGTGGTTGGCACAACTGTTAAAACAAACCACTTTTTATATCAGTACAAAATGATAAGAGCAAACACGTTTTTGAAACATTTAGACATTAGGTGATTATTTAATGTTATATTATTTGATGCCTCTCGTTTTCTATGTGATGCCAGCTTTTGTCTATAGGGAGGCAGTGGCGTAGCAAATCCTTGTCCGGAGTGTATGCTTATAACATAGCCAGAAAAAGATTCTACTAGGCCCTAGAGGCAATCTCCCGTGTTCTGAGAACAAATTTTAGTCCGATTATTAACAAGTAAAAGTTTAACATGCTAATTATAAGACTAAAAGTTGCGTCGAACTAGAATTTTCAAGAGGTCTTTTTATTTAGTTTTTCATTTTTTTTATGATTGATATGGACGGTCCATATTAATCATAAAAGTCGAAGTTAATAAAAATATATGATTGAAAAATATCTTCTTAAAAATTTAAGTGTATGCTTGCAAACTACGCCACTATTGTGTCTAAGGTAGTAGATTTTGTCTGTGAGAGGTAAGACATTTTAATTGCTTGATACACTATGTTCATTGGTAAACGTTCTTAGCCTCAAACATAAGCTTCGTCTGTGAGATGGTATCATGCAATGTACGTTATAAGATGAGTCCAATCGCCTGTAAGATGGTGGGTTTCGGTCGTAACATTGTAAGATGGTGGGTTTCGGTCGTGACATTGTAAGATGGTGGGTTTCGGTCGTAACTTTGTAAGATGGTGGGGTTCGGTCGTAACATTGTAAGATGGTGGGATTTGGTCGTAACATTGTAAGATGGTGGGTTTCGGACGTAACATTGTAAGATGGTGGGTTTCGGTCATAACATTGTAAGATGGTGGGTTTCGGTCGTATCATTGTAAGATGTGGGTTTCGGTCGTAACATTGTAAGATGGTGGGGTTCGGTTGTAACATTGTAAGATGTGGGTTTCGGTCGTAACATTGTAAGATGGTGGGTTTCGGTCGTCACATTGTAAGATGGTGGGTTTCGGTCGTAACCTTGTAAGATGGTGGGTTTCGGTCGTAACATTGCAAGATGGTGTACTGACTTTGTGACACGAGCTCGAGATGTTAGTCTTCTTTTCCGTTTGATGTTAGTTTGTGTCCTGTGATGTTATATTGTGTCACGGAGGTGTTAGATTGTGTCCCTGTGGTGTTATATTGTGTCTCTGAGGTGTAAGATTGTGTCCATGAGGTGTTAGATTGTGTCCCTGTGGTGTTATATTGTGTCCCTGAGGTGTTAGATTGTGTCCCAGAAGGGTTAGATTGTGTCCCTGTGGTGTTAGATTGTGTCCCTGTGGTGTTAGATTGTGTCCCTGTGGTGTTAGATTGTGTCCCTGAATGGTTAGATTGTGTCCCTGAGGTGTTAGATTGTGGTGTTATATTGTGTCCCTGAGGTGTAAGATTGTGTCCATGAGGGGTTAGATTGTGTCCCTGTGGTGTTATATTGTGTCCCTGAGGTGTTAGATTGTGTCCCTGAAGGGTTAGATTGTGTCCCTGAATGGTTAGATTGTGTCCCTGAGGTGTTAGATTGTGTCCATGAGGTGTTAGATTATGTCCCTGAAGTGTGATATTGTGTCCCGGTCATAACATTGTAAGATGGTGGGTTTCGGTCGTAACATTGTAAGATGGTGTACTGACTTTGTGACACGAGCTCGAGATGTTAGTCTTCTTTTCTGTTTGATGTTAGTTTGTGTCCTGTGATGTTATATTGTGTCCCGGAGGTGTTAGATTGTGTCCCTGTGGTGTTATATTGTGTCCCTGAGGTGTAAGATTGTGTCCATGAGGTGTTAGATTGTGTCCCTGTGGTGTTATATTGTGTCCCTGAGGTGTAAGATTGTGTCCCTGAGGTGTTAGATTGTGTCCCTGAGGTGTTAGATTGTGTCCATGAGGTGTTAGATTATGTCCCTGAAGTGTGATATTGTGTCCCTGGGGTGTTAGAATGTGTCCCTGAATGGTTAGATTGTGTCGCTGAGGTGTTAGATTGTGTCCCTGAAGGGTTAGATTGTGTCCATTAGGTGTTAGAATGTGTCCCTGAAGGGTTAGATTGTGTCCCTGAGGTGTTAGATTGTGTCCCTGAGGTGTTAGATTGTGTCCCTGAGGTGTTAGATTGTGTCCCTGAGGTGTTAGATTGTGTCCCTGAGGTGTTAGATTGTGTCCCTGAGGTGTTAGATTGTGTCCCTGAGGTGTTAGATTGTGTCCCTGAGGTGTTAGATTGTGTCCCTGAGGTGTTAGATTGTGTCCCTGAGGTGTTAGATTGTGTCCCTGAGGTGTTAGATTGTGTCCCTGAGGTGTTAGATTGTGTCCCTGAGGTGTTAGATTGTGTCCCTGAGGTGTTAGATTGTGTCCCTGAGGTGTTAGATTGTGTCCCTGAGGTGTTAGATTGTGTCCCTGAGGTGTTAGATTGTGTCCCTGAGGTGTTAGATTGTGTCCCTGAGGTGTTAGATTGTGTCCCTGAGGTGTTAGATTGTGTCCCTGAGGTGTTAGATTGTGTCCCTGAGGTGTTAGATTGTGTCCCTGAGGTGTTAGATTGTGTCCCTGAGGTGTTAGATTGTGTCCTTGAAGGGTTAGATTGTGTCCCTGAGGTGTTAGATTGTGTCCCTGAAGGGTTATATTGTGTCCCTGAGGTGTTAGATTGTTTCCCTGAAGGGTTAGATTGTGTCCATTAGGTGTTAGAATGTGTCCCTGAAGGGTTAGATTGTGTCCATGAGGTGTTAGATTGTGTCCCTGAAGGGTTAGATTGTGTCCCTGAGGTGTTAGATTGTGTCCCTGAGGTGTTAGATTGTGTCCCTGAGGTGTTAGATTGTGTCCCTGAGGTGTTAGATTGTGTCCCTGAAGGGTTAGATTGTGTCCCTGAGGTGTTAGATTGTGTCCCAGAAGGGTTAGATTGTGTCCCTGTATGGTTAGATTGTGTCCCGGAAGGGTTAGATTGTGTCCCTGTGGGGTTAGATTGTGTCCCTGTGTTGTTAGATTGTGTCCCGGAAGGGTAAGATTGTGTCCCTGAGGGGTTAGATTGTGTCCCGGAAGGGTTAGATTGGGTCCCTGAGGTGTTAGATTGTGTCCCTGAGGTGTTAGACTGTGTCCCGGAAGGGTTAGATTGTGTCCCCGAGGTGTTAGATTATGTCCCTGAAGTGTGATATTGTGTCCCTGTGGTGTTAGATTGTGTCCCTGTGTTGTTAGATTGTGTCCCGGAAGGGTAAGATTGTGTCCCTGAAGGGTTAGATTGTGTCCCTGAGGTGTTAGATTGTGTCCCAGAAGGGTTAATTTGTGTCCCCGAGGTGTTAGATTATGTCCCTGAAGTGTGATATTGTGTCCCTGTGGTGGTAGATTGTGTCCCTGTGTTGTTAGATTGTGTCCCGGAAGGGTAAGATTGTGTCCCTGAAGGGGTAGATTGTGTCCCTGTGGTGTTAGATTGTGTCCCGGAGGTGTTAGATTGTGTCCCTGAAGGGTTAGATTGTGTCCCCGAGGTGTTAGATTGTGTCCCTGTGGTGTTGATTGTGTCCCGGAAGGGTTAGATTGTGTCCCTGAAGGGTTAGATTGTGTCCCGGAAGGGTTAGATTGTGTCCCCGAGGTGTTAGATTGTGTCCCTGTGGTGTTAGATTGTGTCCCGGAAGGGTTAGATTGTGTCCCCGAGGTGTTAGATTGTGTCCCTGTGGTGTTGATTGTGTCCCGGAAGGGTTAGATTGTGTCCCTGAAGGGTTAGATTGTGTCCCTGGGGTGTTAGATTGTGTCCCGGAAGGGTTAGATTGTGTCCCTGAAGGGTTAGATTGTGTCCCTGTGGTGTTAGATTGTGTCCCTGAAGGGTTAGATTGTGTCCCTGAGGGGTTAGATTGTGTCCCGGAAGGGTTAGATTGTGTCCCCGAGGTGTTAGATTGTGTCCCTGTGGTGTTAGATTGTGTCCCTGAAGGGTTATATTGTGTCCCTGAGGTGTTAGATTGTGTCCGTGAGGTGTTAGATTGCAATTGTGTCCCTGAAGGGTTAGATTTGTCTATGTAAAATTAGTCTCTTGTATGGTATTTCAGTATTGAAATGTAAAGCTGAAGGCTTTGTCAATATGTGTTTTCATGAGAAATGTAACGGCAATCAATAAAAAAAACTGTCTACAATTACATGTTTACGAGTCATATGTTAACTTCAGGTATCCAAGACATTTAGTAGCTTGTCAATAATCTTCCATATACAATGTAATTAACAAAGAAGGGGGATGGGACGAAACACGGTTTTCTGATTTTATTTTCCTTTGGGTCGAGGCATGCCGATTTGTGTTCGGTAGGGTTATAACTAACAGATCAAGACAATGTATTATAATGTAGGTATCAGGTTAAAGGATTATCAGTATGTGTGATGAGTTAAACGACTTCCTTCTGCTGCTCACAGATTTCATGTTCAAGTCTTGAGGCGTTAACATATACAAGTAGTGTGTGTTTCAGGAGGCAACCGTGACACAGTAGTGGATACATACCAAAGTAAAACAACACCTGGCCTTATTCTCTTTGTACTTGTCCAGGTACTCAAGTCAATATTTCCTTTGTTCATATGTTGCTGTAGTTATATTGATTTCGAGTTCAAATTGCGGTTTTGTCGATATTGTCTCACCGCCAAGGGAGTGAAACAATCTATTAGTCTTAATGAGAATATACTGTACTTTCAGAAAATCAAGGATGTCTCGAATGTATGTGAAGAAGCGCATACTCAAAGTTTGTATGGTGTTTTCCTTTCTGTGGTTTGTCTGGTTTTTTGTTTATCGTGATGGACTTGGAGACGTTGCTGACAATAATAACATACCCAAATTTCAAATAGAAATGGAACAATCAAATAAACTAGGCGTTAACAAATTAGAAAACCACAAACAATCCAAAAACTTAAAACAAGGTCCTTTACAGCCACAACCTTTGAATTTAAACATGGATAATAAAGCACGTGCTGCCGCAAACACTCTGCCTCAGCAACCAAGAGAGGATGCCAAACATGCTAACCCGAACCAAAACGCTGACGCGAAAGCAGAAGAAATCGTTCCAGGTATTGAAAACATAGAAAAGGTAGATGAGGAAAAACAGGAAGAAATTCCGAATGGGAATGTCAATATAAATGTTGGAGAGGATAGGAAAGCTATGAATAAACCAAAGGATATACCCACCGGACCTGGTAAGTGGTTCCTCCTTTTGTTTTTCCTTTTTTTCAAAGCAGGCATATGAGCTTCATACAAAATGTTCATCTTTTAATCTCAAACAACAGTAACTTATTCATATAACTAATCAATGTTTCTTATGATAAAACAGTGTGTTAAAATACGATTACATACTAATTGTTAGCTTGTATCGTTTGATTCATTCGCATACAACATGTATCTACCTGTCTTCCAAATTACTACCAAAAGCGATATTATTCATTTTCAAGCTATTTTTTCTGTATGTTACGGAGAAATTGTAAAGTGAAAAATAACATTATTGTATGATCGTATTTGCTTAAGTAGTGTTCTGACCATTGAATAAATTTGATAATTTATCGAAAAATATTATAAAAGCCCTCTGACTATAGATGTCGTGTATCTACATTTAATATATAGAGGATTTTGCATAAGTGTCTATGTTATGTTGCATTTATTAAATGAGTTTAATAATGTGATCTTTCACGAGCCTTAAGGCGAGGTTAATAAAGCCAATATGACATGGATACGAATCTAAGATTTATCACATACCATTCATAATTTCAACAGACTATATTGGGTAAAACTCAAAGTACTCCGATCAGTCCTTCCGCACGGTGCAAAATAGTTCCAGATTGTTTCTATTCCTGTCACAATGAACAGTTTTAAATGCAATAAATATAACAATAATGACAAAATAAGCATTTCAAATTTATTCAAAATAACAGTAAATTTATCACGTGGTAAATGCTGTGGCCGTATGACATAGTGAAATGGATCAGTAATGTTATAAAGTTATATATCTGTATGTGATAATAAAGTTATATATCTGTATGTGATAATAAAGTTATATATCTGTATGTGATAATAAAGTTAGCAGACAAATGAGTATGTTTATAACGGCTTAATACAAATAGTATGATATACTGCATCATTTATGTCGTAATGTTGTTATGTTAATTCGGAGGTAGAAAGTAAAGCTGACTATGGTAGTGTAGAAATTGATGCTGCTTCTTTATCTTTTCTCTGTTAAAGGTGAGTTAGGGGAAGGCGTTCACATTGACGTCAAGTCACTGACACCTGAGGAAAAGGGAAGATATGATAGAGGATGGAAAGAAAACGCCTTTAACGAGTATGTCAGTGATATGATCTCGTTAGACAGATCAATAGAGGATAGCCGAGATCCCGAGTGAGTTGAAGCCAAAGTTGTAGTATCCGGTAATGATATGTATCAGTCCGCTAAAACTGACCATAATCGCAGGTTCAAAAGTTCTGATCGGTCGCCTGTTATGGTCAGCTATCGACTGCTCTTTAAAATGCGGGGATTGTCGTCGAAATCTGGCGACAGCGATTCTGAGAGTTATACATGTTTGTCAGAGAAAATAATCATACCTTTATTTCAGTTGATTCTTTTCTCACTCACTCGACTAGATGTCATGTCCGTACTCGATACAATATGGACTCTTCATCGTTTTATTAAATTGAAGTTCTTTCGACTGCTCACATCGACAGCCATTTTGCCTTCGACAATATGGCGCACTAGCCAATCAAAATTATGGCTCTAAAGACTTTACCCAAAATATATTAACAATGTCAGCTCAGTTAAGTAAGTAAATGATTGATAAAAATCCATTTGCATTTGATTTTTTCTTGCTTTTTGATCAATTTTGATCAAATGTAAACATTGGTTACGCAGTGATCTTTTAGCAGACACAAACTAATAAGCTCGTTTGATTGATATACATTTATCACAATAATAAGTAATATAAAAATTACTCTGATATTCCTAGCATTTGTCAGCATCATATTACGAAAACAACTCGATTGCGAGGAAAAGGTAAACTGGTACACGTGTTTTTGTTGTTAACAAGTCGATTTGACGGAAGTAATTCTGATTGGCCAATACATATTGATGTACGCAAAATGGCTGTCGATGTGAGCAGTCGAAAGCACTTCAATCCAATTAAACGATGTAGAGTCCATATTGTATCGAGTACGGACATGACATCTAGTCAAGTGAGTGAGAAAAGAATCAACTGAAATAAAGGTATGATTATTTTCTCTGACAAACATGTATAACTCTCACAATCGCTGTTGCCAGATTTCGACGACAATCCCCGCATTTTAAAGAGCAGTGGATGGCTGACAATAAACAGGCGACCGATCCGAATTTTTGAGCCTGCGATTATGGTCAGTTTTAGCGGACTAGATATGTATATAACCTTATTTTTTAACTAAGTGTTAATTTTCCTTGAGCCTTACTTAATTAACATTATACAATATCTCACTAGCACCTAGGTATCACCAATATATGCTTTCGTTTGTACTGATCAAATGTGCAAATGCATAACAACTGAAAAATATCCCTTTCATTGATAACCTTATATTAATATTGTATATTCCGTCTTTGCATATTGCAGAGTTATCTTCTCTTGGGAACAGGTATTGATTGTTATGTTACTTGTTTGTGAGAGAAACGTCATCAATTTTTGAGAAAACGACGTAATTTTCTCACACATACCAATGACGTAACAATCAATACCTGCTCCCAAGAGAAGATAACTCTGGAATACGCAATGACGGAAAAGTTAGTCCGCAAACCATTTAAACTATACCTGAATAAATCATTGATTACTTTTTAATTGTTAATGTTATGTAATCATCAATATTCTTGTTCGTCTTTTCAGGTGTAAAACAATGGTGTATAGCGACAATCTGCCAGACGCCAGTGTCATTGTTACATTTCACAACGAGGCTTGGTCCGTGTTGCTTAGGAGTGTACATAGTATTATAAACCGAACCCCTCCGGAATTATTAAAGGAAGTTATCCTAGTGGATGATTTCTCTGATAGGCGTGAGTAAAATAATGACGTCATCGACGTTTATTTGGGAAACAAAAATGAAATCAAAAATAGGATATGTTACCTAGAAACTGGTATTTCTACACGAATTTCATTGCATTAGTATCTAAGCATATCATTCCTATTCCAGCCAATATATATATATATAATATATCAATTCTATCTTCTTGTAATAAGATGTATATGTACATGTAACTGTTCTGTTTCATTGTGTCTTGAAAAAGGAGCGGATCGCTCCGAAAATTTGACAACCTAAACTTGTCCACACTGTTGGAATTATTTCTTTGCCCCATATATATATATATATCGGTAAGTGTGGTCTGTAGTTATTTTTTTACTCAACACATCAGATCCAAAATATAGTGTGAAATGTTGATAACAACACGCATCCCTTAATTTTCTATTGAATTAATAAAGATGAAAACCTATCTTAAGTGAAAATCAGAGTGACTGTTCGGATTATACAATATTTCATAAGCAAAATGATCAATGGACATCGGAATTCCTTATCATCCTTTATCACTTTTTTTGACTTTATACCGGGAAATGTTGGCCGAATTTTAACCTCAATAATGAGGGCGAATTTATCACGACTGCAAACATAATTACGCCACAGTCTTTAAATTGTCATAACGGTTGATGGGCGAAATAAATGCTAAACAAAATATAGATTTCATCAGTGAAAAGAGCGATATTTTCCCTGTATACAGTATGTAAACGTATTGATTTAATGACATGTTATGTTTTAAGCACATTTACATGCCCCACTGGAGGAGTATATGAGTCGGTATGAGAAGGTGAAGATAGTGAGAGCAAGCAAAAGGGAGGGGCTTATCAGAACGAGGCTGCTAGGATATGATGTCGCCAACGGGACTGTGCTTGTTTTTCTTGATTCTCACATAGAGTGTGCAGAAGGTACGTAATAAAGCCAGCTGAAATGGAACACCTGTCGGCTAAAACAATTACTTGATGATTTTGATAAAAACCTACATCATTTATCTAAAATACCGTAAAAAGAATACACAGACAATCATGGTGTCACATATTATTTGTGCATGGTTTTCAACAAAATATAGCCAATTCATGCATAAAAAAGTTCTACAACGCAAGGGTGAATTTGTATGGTGTCACATTGTGTCTGTGTAAGGTGTTACATACTGTCTGTGTAGGGTGTCACATTGTGTCTGTGTATGGTGTCACATTGTGTCTGTGTATGGTGTCACACTATGTCTGTGTATGGTGTCACATTGTGTCTGTGTATGGTGTCACATTTTGTTTGTGTATGGCGCCATATTTTGTTTGTGTATGGTGTCAGATTTTGAATGTGTATTGTGTCAGATATTGTCTGTCTATGGTGCTACATTTTGTTTGTGTAGTGTATGGTGTGCATATTGTCTGCCTATGGTGTGACATTTTATCTGTATATTGCATCACCTTTCTTCTGTGTGTATTTTCACATTTTGTCTGTGCAGGATGTCACAGTTTGTCTGCGTATGGTGTTACATACTGTCTGTGAATGGTGTCACATACTATCTGTGTATGATGTCACATTATGACTGTGTATGGTGTCACATATTGTCTGTGAATGGTGTCACATATTATCTGTGTCACGTTTGTCTTTGTAGTGTATGGTGTGGCATATTGTCTGTATATGGTATCAGATTGTGAATGTGTATGGTGTCACATATTGTCTGTGTATGGTGGCACATATTGTCTGTGAATGGTGCTACATTTTGTTTGTGTAGTGTATGGTGTGGCTTATTGTCTGTCTATGGTGTCACATTTTGTCTGTATATTGTTTCACCTTTCTTCTGTATGTGTTTTCACATTTTGTCTATACAGGTCGTCACATATTGCCTGTAATTGGTGTTTCATTGTGTATGTTGGTTTGTGTAGGGTGCTATATATTGTTTGAGTAGGGTGTCACATTTTGTCTTTGTAGGGTGTCTGTCACATGTTGTCTCCATGTGGTATTACTTTGTCACATTTTTCCTCTTCATGTTCATTGATGAAATGCAATTTTGTCTAATATTATGTAGGAATACTGATACACTATACACTGTATCTTTGTCTAATATTATGTAGGAATACTGATACACTTTACACTATATCGTTGTGAATATTCATGACAACAGGTTGGATACAGCCACTGCTAGATCCCATCGCACGTGACAAGACCACGTCAGTCACACCAGTAATTGGTGTCATTGATTTCACAACATTCCGCTTCAAATTGGCGAAGGCTAAAGACGTACAAGTGGGTGGTTTTGATTGGGCGCTGACGTTTAATTGGCACGTCATACCAGAGTCTGAAAGAGCACGTCGCAATTTCAAAGACTACTTAGTAGCAAGGTACCTATTGTTTGTCTGTACCTGTAGCGCACAAGACTTATGAACTTAGGGTTCAAGGATAATGTTTGAATTATATGTATATATCAGAAAATCAAGGAAGTTTATTGGATCTGAATAATATCCTAAAACAAATAAAAATTGTAACTAATAATAAGTAAGTGTTTTTCTGCCTCTTTTATTTAACACGTCAAACATTAAGGCACACTAATATCTATTATAAATTCGGTGACTTTGTTCAAAAGGAAAATTTTATTTTAAAATAGTACATTTAAAACAGATATGATATAAAAAAGAAAAGATAGACTACATAAACATGGAGAACCCTACAGTTTTTTTGTTTTATTTTATCACAGACAGTTTTGCATAAACAGCTCAGCGCTTCTGCATACCATCTGTGTGGTCCATAGTTAATAAGCAATACGTCATACATAATGATTATTCATTAAAACAGATGATGCATCTTTGGGAATGTTTTTCTGTTAAAAGTGTGTCTGAAATTGACTAGTGAAGCTATTTAAGAAAAGAAAAAAAAATGAAAATATTTATGAGGTTATTCCAACATTGGTTCTAGGACACATTTACCTTGAATCGCTAATCCAATGTTATTATGACCTCATAAATGGTTAAACAATATTATATTACTTACATTGACATTTTTAAATGCTTTTATGTTATCGTAAGCAAGTACAACATTTTTTCTTAATATAAACATGGGCGTAACACTGTAGAGAGAACATCGAGTTTTTCCGGGGAAATGTGAAACTCCGGGGAAATGTGAAACTACCAGGAAATGTGAACCCCCTGGGGAAATGTGAAACTCCGTTGGATTACCTTGCAACAACAAAAAAAAAAAAATGTAGGTCCATTTTCCAAAAAGATATTTATTTCAAGCAACTTTTTTATCTTTTATATTTAAATCAGCATTAAAACAATATTCTTACGATGCCTCACGGCGGACGGTAAACAAACTACGCCAGTTTTGCAAAATGCCGAAAGTCATTGTATTAATACACAATGTGATGAGGTTACATGTGCAATATACAGAATGTACAACACTATATGTTATCAAATTTTGAAATATGAACTGTTCTCCATATCTTGTTAGACTTTCTTTTTTAATTTCAGTTTTTGTTTTAAATATACAATTTAAAAATAACTTGTACGTTTGAATTGGTAGAATTAGAAATGAGTTCCTTGTGCAATTTCGGCTTTTCTTTTAGAACAAAGTCACCAAATTTATTATAGATACAATTGTGCCTTAATGTTAGATGTGTCAACTCATTCAGATTCAATACACCTCCTTGATTTTCTGATATATACATATAATAAAAGCGCATCTTTTCATCATACGCTCAATACTTTGAGCTCAAATATTAATAAGAATTATTTGTGTTCATCTTTTTGAATTTATTTGGCAGGTCTCCCACCATGGCAGGAGGGTTGTTCGCTATCAGTCGGGAATACTTCACACACCTAGGCACTTACGACGAGGGAATGAATATTTGGGGAGCAGAAAATCTGGAAATTTCATTTCGAGTAAGGTGTAAAAATCAAAACGAACGAGTGAAATGAAAACCCTGATGCAATTATTTTTGGTCTGTTAGTCAAACAATCATATTTGAAGCAATAAACACAAAAAGATCATTAAGAATGTTTAAATATTTCCTGGAACATAGTCTATGATTCGCCAACAATCTTAACTACTAGGACTCAAAAGAAAAGAGATTTTGTAACAAATGTTATTCCTATAATGCATGCATGCAGACAGACGGATAGGCATTTTCGTTCGTCAGTTAGACCATCAAGATGTGTTGTATTTCTCCCAATGTCTATTGTTAGATTTGGATGTGTGGAGGGACACTAGTTACTGCCCCTTGTTCACATGTTGGTCACATATTCCGGAAACGTTCTCCGTATACATGGCCAGGAAAAAATATTCTGCTCCGAAATAATCTTCGTTTGGCCGAGGTGTGGCTCGACGACTTCAAAACATACTACTACAGTCGGATATCCAAACAACAAGTAAGAAAATATTTATACTTAAGTTACAAAAATAAAGCCGAATCAAAGACTGGGGTTGTTGTTTGTATTAGTCACGCACGACTGTCATTGAAATAGCTTAAACGATTTTTGAAAACGAAACAAATATATATTGCCATTATTTGTACGGGAAATATTGGTTATTACTAACTCTGTCTGGCTCTTAGTATCGACTTATTGAATTTGTTTACATGCATGCTTTCTTCCTTCATATTTAACGTGATTTGGCACTCTGCTGGTGACTGAACGTACCCGTATAGCTCCAACAATAAAGCTAGAGGCAAATGGCCTCGTAGGTCTGTAGCAACGTGTTTACAAAATAATGTGAATCATATCGTAGGTCATTATATAGGTCAATCATAGGTCAATATATAGGTCACTAGAGTATCGCTGTCATAGTGTTAAGATCTAAACGGATGAAAATACTTACCTATGGTATTCCAAAATGTATGTATATATACAGCTTTAGGAACCCAAGCATATCAAAACCTTTATAACATAACAACTTTACACAATTTTGGTGCATCAAATTGAAAAGTGTTTCATGTAAAACATGAGTCAACCACTTTGTGATGAAAAACATTACTTGAAACACAAAGAAGGATGTATTTGTAAATTTAGTATGTCGATGCATTAAGCCAAAGCAAATAAATTGTTAAGCCTCCATCAAAATGAAAGCATCGAAACCCCTCAAGATTTATGAAAAAAATCATGTTCGTCATAATTTTGTTCCTTGAATGTCATTGCTTCATTTAATGTTCCCGTTTGTTTCGACAGGTCAACTTACTTAGGCTTCTTACATTATTCAAATTTTACGATATAAGCACTATGTAGAACTATGCAATACTGTTATACTTGTATGTGTAATGTATTTCCCCCTATCAAATTCCGATGAGATGATGTTGCCGACGATTTGTCCATATACCTTGTCCGTTTGCATACCATAACACACTGAGATGTTCATTTTTCCTATAAATTTTATATAATGTTATATAGTTATCGTTTTTTCTTCATAAACAGATGAACGAAACAAATTATGGAGACGTATCAGAGAGAAAAGACTTACGTAAACGTCTCAACTGCAAAAGTTTTGCTTGGTTTCTGAAAAACGTTTTCCCAGAAATGTACGTTCCAGGAAATTCGCTAGCATCCGGAGAGGTATTGTTTTGGATTTTCTTCACCTCCTGATCGGGGGATTTATGTCTCAACAAAAGTATCTATTTATAACATCCGTAAAACGTATCATTACCTCGCGAACGTAGAAAAATAATATAATATTTTGACTAAATACAATGTATTACATATATATTTAAATATCTATATGATTTGACTTTTTGATAAATACTTGTGTTAATTGTTGTCTGGGATTATCATTCATCTGTATGATTTTCTTGTTTGTCGGATGTACCATGTTTTGTATATTGTTCTTATTAGTAAATTGAGGGCATGTTATTTTTAATAGACTAATTTTAATGATATATTTTAAAGATACGGAACAAAGCAAAACCAGTCTGTTTGGATGGATTGGACAAAATTGAAGCTGACAATCATCTTAAAACGTATCCTTGTCATCAATTGGGCGGAAATCAGGTGATTGAGATGGTTCTAGTTATTAAAGTTAACATATGTAGACAGCTGGTAAAGTGATAGGAAATTAAATAATCTTTATTAAATAATAACTATCAGTATCAAAATAAAAGATCAGACGGTTGATTATTGACAATAAGTATTAAACATCTTTATTAACAACATCATTGCATAACTTTCTATAATATTTTCACTACTACCGAGCCCATTTGTAGACATCCTTTAATAACGAATACCAATGATATTTTTTTTTTATCTTTGATGATGTTAACACAATGACAAAGACCGTTAACTATTAAAGATAGGTAATTGTAACCTAAAGTAACAAAGAATTGTAACTTTCAATAATATTTATTTACATACGTTGACAAACTTACAAAGATTTGTAGCTTTAAATGATGCATATATAAGTGACGTTACCTTTATATATGTTGACGAAATAATGAAAACATTTATCATTAACAATGTATGATATGTTTATGTTTAAAAGTAATACTGAGTTGTGTTTTTTTTTTATAAGAACCTTTATAGTTACCCAGTTTAGTTTTTGTTTTAGTTCTGGCTTTACATGAATGACAATTCCTTTAGACGAGACGTTGTGTGTTTTGATTATCATACACTTAAGAAAGAGATACAACTTATGTCGTGTCACGGAATGCACGGAAACCAGGAATGGGAGTATAGAGAGGTGAGCACATAGTTAATTAGACCAATTGGTTTCCTGAAAAGTTTGTTTACGATGTTTCAGTATTATTTCTTAAATTTTTATGCTTGCTTGACAATATGGGTTTTGCCGATGTAAACATACACGGTTTGGAATATCAAACATAATTGTGAGCGTTATTTGGAGATATCAAATCAACATGTTGACAGTTTATTCTTTTGAACTTTACTACTTCATAAGAGGAGTTTAATCCACCAAGTGAATGACCGGGAATAAATCATCGTAGTGCAATAGTTATTTTGATGCTAGATTTATAGTAATAGACCGGTTCGGATGTAACAGTTGTGATGATGAAGTATCTAGTAATAGACCGGTTA